GGCTTATCATGGGTGTTTGTTCTGTTCCTCTGCTTTGGCTAGTCTTCCCCCGAATACAACGTGCGATCATTATAGCTGAATTTGGGGTATCTTTCAGTCTAAATACAGCTATAATGACCGCATACTTCGTATTTGGGGAAGAAGGTAGATCCACCCGCCAAACAGAAAATGTCATATGCACCCCTTTGGAGAAGTATGGTAGCAGAAGTATCAGTCCGCCCGTGTGTATTGCAACGAATATACCCCGGTAAAGTGGCAGAAGTACCTTTTTTTAAGTAAGGTTGTTAAAACGAAAAGGGGGAGGGGGGTGTGTAGAGGGGTAGACAATGACTGGGTACCATTGGGAGTTCCGGGGTTGGCTGTGCTACCCACCGAGCCGTCTCCCCTAATTTTTATTTTTATTTTATTTTTTATTATTTTCAGGGTTGCCGGCGTTCGGGACGGGCCGAACGCCCGAACCGGGGACCTTGTCCCACTAAGACCTTGTCCCACTAGCTCCGTTGAGCTACAGGAGGTCAACGTTGGGTTTTCGTTGTGGCTGTACGACGCGAAGAAGGAGATGCACGCCCTCGCGATCATCCAGCCATAGGCTCTTTTTTTAATTGTGAATACATTTTATCGCATTTTTTCTTCTGACAAAATACATCCAAAAATGACGTTTTCTCGAATGCAACGTCTCCTACCCTTGCCACTTTCCGTTGAGCTAGCTGTCTCCTTTTTTCAAGACAGCAAGTTCAACGACCATTGGCTTCCTTTTGGATTTTTTTTTTTTTAATGTTATTTTATTACGTTTTGAGAAATTTGTGAAGTAGCGTGTACTTTGCTATTTTCGGTCCACTTTTGAAGGGCCCCTGCCAAGATGTGTAGTTGAATATGTGACTTTTCTACAGTTGTGTAGAAGTTTTTCGGACAGCACTAGGTTCTTCCCGCAGATACAACGCAGGGTCATTCATTACACCTGTATGTGGCGTACCTTTCTGTCGCAAAACATCTGGCAGACACCTTCCAGTATGAATGCCATCCAGAATTGTATTCGGGGTAGAAATTGGAAACTTGGATCTCACAGTTTGAGCGGTGAAGGCCGACTGCGCGCGTCTGATGGAAGCAATTTTCCATGGAAGCAAGTTTCCATTCTCGGTTGTGGACGTCACGTATTCCACTCCAGTTGTGAAAAAAAAAATAAAAAAAAATGAATTGTATCTTGGGCGGATTTTTAATGCATTTCTGAATTTTAAATGAATTAAAATAAACAGTTTCAGCCGTCACACCGTTGAACTAGGTCCACTAAACAGTGCATGTGGGACAAGGTCCCCAGGGCCAAGTCCCACTAGCAGCGTTGAGCTACCTCAACGCCGGAATCTGGAGGCTTTTGCGGAGATGTGCAGAAATGGGGTTGAGTTTTATGAACTGCACGTCTCCACAAACACGTCCAGATAAACGCGTTCAGGTAGCTCAACACTGCTAGTGGGACTTGACCGAACGCCCGAACATTCGGCAACCCCTCTCGACGCGTTCGGCCGCCGAACACGGACCCCAAACAAAAAAAAA